TGAAAACCCTGTTTTGGATGCAACTGAGGGTTTGCTTCACCATTAACTGTGGTATTATCAACACACTCTTCTCTCCCTGCATAAAGATGGTTGTATGCAGTACCTCTGACCAACCCTCAGTTCTCAGTCCACATGGCCATGGTAATACAGGTGATCTACTAAAATACACAATGTCAAATGGAGGCAGGACATGTGGCAAGAAGTAAAGCATGTCATGGAAGTGCTGTGATTTCAACTCCCCCACGTAATAAAAGTAATACATAACCAAAAGTGTTATCAGTTTAAAGTCTCACTGCCTGCCTACACACTTCCTCACATAACAAGCAGTTATCTCATCATGTCTCATCTTCACATCGTTGTGTCTTTTCCCCTAATACTGAGCCAAAACATCATGTATTTGTTTCATTTTTCTTGACTGTGTCCCTGTTTAGCTGTTGTGTTGAGTAGAAAATAAATCGAAATGGAGTAGAGGTTGTAGGTCTGGCCCTGAAGTGATACCTGGTCCTCATATTTGGTTTGGCTTTCTATGGACAGGCCTCATCCTCCTGTCAAGCCCTCTTGGTTCAGCGGAGGTCTGGCCGAGCCCCAACAAAGAGTGGAGATCTGTAGCTTTTCCCTGTAATGAGAGGCTGTGGAAGTGGTGATCAATACCCTATTCCTTTAAAGCAACAAAACAAGACGTTACATCTTTGGTCCTAATGCAGCCCATTTGACAAGCTACTTGAAGGTGTCATGTTTTGTGTTTTCTTTTCTTTTTTTTGTGTGATTTTTTTCTTTAATTATTTTAAAAAGGCTCCTTAGAAGTTGTATGTCAGAACAAAGAGGTAACACTTACAAAAAGAAAGCTAGAAAATGGGATCCCAGTATAAAGATTTGAACCAGTGGTGATAAAACATTACAAAGCATCCTTGCTAAGTGTTATACACAGAGTTTGACATTCCACGAGTATACAGTTTCCATCAGGAAGGAGGACACAGGTACATTTTCATACTGATTCAGATGTTTTCTCACAGAGAAACACGGAGGGGAAACAAAAGCCAGAGCACCAGAACTGCTGGTCTGGAGAGGCAGCGGTTGTACTAACAGAAGATGTTGAACTCTGAATGTGAAAAATGAGCGCTTGTATGGAAATGCAAAGTTTCTCCTTGGCACCCTGGAGCACCCCCAGACAGACCAAGGACACCCCAGACACCTTGTGATTGGACCTGTTTGGGGTCCTGTAACATCATTGTAGGCCTAACTGCGTCTCCCAGGGAAGAGAAGAGATTCACTCCATAGTACGAGTGCCGTGTACATTGGTTTCACACAAGAAACCTCTGCAAGAGGGCTTCAAGCTCGTAGCAGGGACGGGAACCTAGTGTCTATTCCCACCCGTACCTGCAGGAACCGCCACTGGCCTCAGTCATGTCCCTGGACAATTTGATAGCTGCTTTGGGTACGGATTGCCTGGCTGCACCCCTTCCCTGTCATTACTCTCCCTACACAAACCCTACCTTTCAAATAAACCATAGGAATGCATTTTTTAATGCTGGGGCTTCACACGGCCATCTGATGATGATGCTGGTGGGACAGGGCATCCACTGCCATCTAGTTCCAACTGTTCTCACTAGAAAACTCACTGCATTGTTGCCTGCCAGCTGGAAACAAAAGCAAGCCCCCAGCCTCTCGGGTGAATTTACCTGACAAGACCAATTGCAACATGAAGGAAATTTCCCAAGCCAACTCCCTTTGCAGCAGAAGAAAACAACCCAAGGCGCAAATGAAGTCAACTGTGCTGACACTGTACACAAATCACTGGAAAACATCAAAGTAAGATGAAGCCTCCCAACTTAACTTATATTTTCATATACTTAGCAGTTATTAAGTCTTAAATTATTATTGCAAAAGCAGTTGCATATTAACTAATTCTTTATAATGAAGAGACGCTAAGCCCTAACTTGCAAGTGGTTTTATTTTGCCTTCCTTGAGAAATAGAGTAAAAAGGGAAATTTTAATTTTCTTGATTGGTAAGACTGTGTTGGCTTTTACAAGTGGCTCTGGCCTCCTACATTTCTCTATTTAGTTGCTTTTTAAAAATCAGCATTTTCTACCCAAACCTCCTGAGAGACAACGGCAGTACTTACAGGTTATTTCTGGATGCTGAGTTATGCTGCCTAAACATGGTCACCTTTATGAGCACCCATAATTAGCATGATGCACCTTGCTGTTCAATACTCAATGAGCTGCAGTGGGAAAACCAGACCATTCCAGCTGCTTATTGATTCTTTTCCTTTTTTCCATCTTAATGGAAATCATCCGGTACATTGCTAATGTTTGTTACCCTACGAACATCACCTGTGCCTCTTGCAACAGCCACACAGCTGCTCAGTCTCATCTGCTCCCAGGGCTGCTGTATCTGCCCCTCCAAATTCCCCCTGGAATCTGTACATTCGTATCAAGAGTTTATGGTTCTACATCCTCTTTCCTACTTTCTCATTAAAAAAATACATTCAAAAAAGCAATGCTCTTTCAAACTTACATTGCTTGATTTTTAGATGCATCTCCTTGCTCCTATCAGTGAATTGCTACTGAATCCCTCCTAAATTGTTTTAAAAGGGCAACCATATTAACCTATATTAAATAATTTTTATGCTACATAATGCTGGTGATACATATTGCTACTTCTTAGTGGCTTTCTTGTTTTAGCTAACTGATTAAAACAAAACGTCAATAAATTCCTTTGTGCAATAGCGTCGGAAAAATTCTGCAGGAGAACACACACAATGTGATTTTTCCTGTGTTCTGCTTGGAGACACAACAGCTTTAGCAAATTGAAAATGATCTGTGATTTCTGTTGAGATCTTTTTTTGGGTTTATGTACATTCCTCCTGGGGCGGTGGGTGGAGGAAAGCAGCGCTGCCTGTGCATACATGTTGCACGCTTGTGAGAGCAACACAACAAATCTGCTCTCAGGAATGCAGGGAGAAATCTGCCACTAATTGGACGTGGGAACTAAATTCTGGTTAATGTTTTAAATGCAAGTCAGTAATAATCAAAGTCAAACATTGCGTTCTCCATACTGCAGTGCTGGGTCTCGGTCACAGTGACACACGTGTACCAAACTGGAAAATCTTTGGATTTTGACCCAATATACTGCTTCACCCTGGACTACAGCATGGCCGATGAGCTACTGCACACACACAAGATACTAACGCATTTTACACCATGTTACTTATAAAAGGGGTCATTTCACATGACAGTTCTCCTTCTTTCCTCAATAAATCTGTAAAAATGATGTTCTGAGCATTTTCTGCTTGATCCTGGACTCCAGATGCAACATTTAAACTGAAACATATACTGATGTATTCAAAACATGGTGGTGGCATAAATCTATTTCTAGCTACTTAATATAGACTACATTATCCTCTGCAACTCAGCTGCTTATACTACCCTCAAGCAAGCTGCCAATGTTCAACTAGTTAAGGGCCTTTGTACCAAAATCACCAAATGTGCATTTGCTTTCTGATCTAGTGGTTTGATTAAAACAGTACTGCCAAGCTGCTGGTGGCATGCATCTGAATTACTGACTGAATTCACACTTCAGGCACTTTACTCCTCCTACATTCATCAGAAATGTTAATGATGGAAGAATCTGAAGTTCTGTATCACAGGCCCCTGGAACGAATACCTGCTTTTGCTGCTGTGACTGATTTATACAGTCAAGCTAAAATCGTAGCCTTGCCTCGCCTGCCTATGCCACACTGGCAACAGAAGATGGTGCGGGGTATTTTAAAGAAGCAATAGGCAACCCTGTGTTTCAGAAGAGGGAGATCACATTTTCCATCACTCCAGATTATTCTTCCTTTTCTTAATTCGTTGCCACTGCCCTCCTGCATTGCCAGGACATGTAACCCCAAAGGGACAGGCAACCAGCCCCAGCCTCTGCCCCAATGTGGTACAGCAATTGGCAATATTCTGCCTTGAAGTGAGTGAAGCATAACACTGACATACCCCTCTTCTTTGCCAGATGTACAAGGGAAAATTATTTCTGCTCTGAGCCCCTTTAAGAAGGGAAATAAAACACCTTGCTACCTGCGTTTCTTGCCCTAGTCAAGTTTAATTTAGCATAGTTCTTCCAGTCTGTCTTGTGAATGCTCCAATTGCCACCATTTGCATTTCCTTGACATTTAATTAAAGTCTGTTAAACATTGTTTGACACTTCATTTTTCAATTAGGACACCATCTTAACAGTTTTGTTGAAGAAGAAAGGCATTTTGACAACTTGACAGCTGCATAAGGGATCAGAAAACAAATGTCTTGCATTTGACCATCAGAAAACAGACTAGCAAGCACTTTGTATCCATGTACAGGTGACTCTAAGGCAAGGTCCTCCTGTCAGTTTTTAGCAGTAGTGGTCAGTAGGTGATGCATCGTGCCATTTCGCTTCTTGTGCTAGTTTTCCCTGGAGCAGTCCACTCCATACAGCCCTGGGCAGAATCTCCCACACGTCCCCCATATGCACTTCTCTTCGTGCCAAGAGGCAGTATATGGAGCCAATTTGTAAAAAATCCGGGGGTTTGGAATAACTGTTTCTGTTCTAGGAGTTTTGGAAAACCATTTAGCAACATAAGGGTTTTTTTTCCTGCTGGTGATCTGAGCACCACATAGCAGACCAGCAGCACAAGCGTCTGATCATGTAAAAGATCCAAAAATTCTCTTAGAAACATTTATAAAAATACAGACCGTAGAAAGGAATCTAACTGTACAATGTGTACAGCTCTAGAGTTCATCCCAGAGTGGCTTCTTACCGTGCTACCATTTGAAAAGGAAAGGAATGCATCCATAGTATTTCTTTTGTCCAGGAAGATCCCACTCCATCACAACATCCATCTGAGTGCAGGCTACGGGCCTCAGAGTTATTACATGGAAATAGGCAAGAAAAGACCCAAACTACCATCAGATAGGCCTCGCAGCTTCAGCCCCTGTGCTGAAAAGGTAAAGTGTGCTTCTCGATGAATTGCGGTTGCCGTTCGCTCTGAGCAAGCGTCTGTTCTTGCAGCAGCCAGGTAGTTCACCAAGGGTCTGGCTTGCCTCACTGCAAGAAGAAATCCTCTATGGTCATGCCGAGGCTTCAATGTATTCACTTTTTGGTGCTGCTACCCTCAAGTACTCCGGGTTTTCTGCCGCTGGAACTTTCAGGAGACCATTAGGTTTGGTTTCCTTCGGTAAGAAGTCCTGCTGGTAGTCAGGATTGTCCAGATTTATTTGGTGGTTGCCCGCCTGGATCCAGTAAGGAGAGGTCTCGAAGACTGTCTTGGCCAGTGGAGACTGGTTGGTGTTGAGATACTCAGGGTTGTCCACAGCTGTGCTGTGTGAATTCTGGTAGCTGGAGTCCGTGGGGACCTTTGAGTTTGCTGTGAGAGAGAAGTTGTTGTAGATTGGATTCTGGACTGCTGAGGCAGATGTTTTCTTGGGCACCAACTGGTTTACATACTCTGGAATATAAAGAAAATACAAATGAGAAGGAATGAAAATAAAGACGTATAACTAATGCAGCCATTTGCATCACTTGAGGTGTAGTTTCAACCCAGCTGCCACTTGTTCTTTGCACACAGCATCTCATAGAATGATAGAATCATAGAGTGGTTAGGGCTGGAAAGAACCTTAAGATCATCTAGTTCTAAACCCCCTGCCATGGGTAGGGATGCCTCACACTAGAACTGAACTTTCTAGAGTGGAAAACGAGCCAAAGGCAGGGACTGCCACGTCATGGCACCACACATCCTGCCCTCAAGTTCACCTTCAGGAATCTGGTTTGCAAAGCCCCAGAAAGATGCCTTGGACCACAAGACAGACAGATAGCTACTGCTGATTTTAGTGACATGTAGGTGGCTATGTCCCAGATACTGTTCTGAAATTGCAGTCTAGGAGCTTAGCTGCCAGGAGCTGTTTCCCTAGAAAAAACACTTAGAGATGAGAAAAATACTGGGCTGGTGGTAACAGAGACTACACATTTCGCTCTAGTGCCATCCCTTGCAGGATCTTTCACCCCTTTTAGCTGTGGCGTATCCTTGGAAGGGTTGGTTGGGAATTTTTAAGGTCACAAAGCATCATGACTGCACAACGCAGCATCATCTCCCTTGGTGCTCCGTTGGCTCACTCTTCAACTGCCTACGCTGTAAGTCCACGTGAAACCATGAGCTGCCTTCTGTGTATCAACATCTGAAGGCGGTGGAACTGCCAGAAAGCTGTTTGTGTTGCTAAAAAGGTCTAAGGGATGAAACCCAGTTTTTAGAGGATATTTTTCCAAGTATGAAGCTTTAAACATATAACCACACATGTAAACTCCCCGGCCGGATGGCACACGTGGCAAACATGAGGAACCTGGCTGGTGAAGGACCTGAAATGAGAAATGGCCAGAAGCAGCCAGATAAAGTCTAGGAAAAGGATACATACACACATTTCCACTCCCGTTTACCAAGCAAAAAAAGGCAGGAAGCATATGGATTGCTTCCTTTCTGCAGAAAAGGAAGGACAATGATTACATTCACAACTGAATGGCTTGTGAGTGAATGGCTGTGGAATGGAAACACGGGAGAGGTACTCACCTGGGGCTGGCAGGAAGCCATCATCTATGCTGTCCTCCAAGAAAGCGCCTGTGGGATCTGAGCTATACCTCTGGACAAAGCTGTCTTCCCTCACAGGATGCCCCTGCTAGGTTGGAAGTAGAGAAAACCCATATTAAAGGCACTATTTTGTAGAAATTGATCCATGTAGAAGTTTCTCTTGTTTTAAAGGTCATCCCACTTACCCCGTTCCTGTCAATGCAGGTTGTAGCAGAGTTGTTGCTAGTAGCACTCTTAAAGAGAGAGAAAGAAAATACAGACGTTATGAGAAGCAGTTCACTCTTCAAATTGCTCGCCATGTTTCCAAAGAGGAAAAGTTTCATACCAGTGAACTCAAGAGAGGAGTGCGGGATGTTGAAGGGCTGTTGAAAAAGCCCTGGTGTGGCACGAGATACTCATCGGCATCCACTATATCTTCCATGTCCTCCTCCTCCATCAGGGTGCGATAAAACTTGGAGTCTGTAGGGCTGGGCAGGTGCATCCTATCGTCTCCCTGTGAGACAAGTCAGCATGAGAGAGGGTGAGGGTTAGGCTCCCTTCAAGCCCTTATTATCCCCTTCTCTGAGACACAAAGTGATTTAGCAAGAGGCCCAAGATGCAAAATCTTGATCCATGTGTTTATCCAAATTTACCTGGAGTTTAGGGGAATCTGGGCCTGCAAACTCTGCTGTGAAACAGCTGCAATTTTTAAGAGGATGGAACTGTTCTCTTAGGACTGCAGTATGGACTGTTACTGGTCCTACCCTGGGACAAGTCCTAAGAAAATAGTGACTGGTCTTGAAATTCTGTCGGTGGTTGGTTCTAGCTGAACGCGTTAAGACCTCGAAAGCAGCAATAAATCACAGAATCATAAAATAGTTCGGGTTGGAAAGGACCTTAAGATCATCTAGTTCCAACCCCCCTGCCTCCTCTAGTTCCACCCCCCCGGCCATGGCAGGGACACCACACACTAAACCATGTCACCCAAGACTCTGTCCCACCTGGCCTTGAACTCTGCCAGGGATGGAGCATTCACAACTTCCTTGGGCAACCTGCTCCAGTGCCCCACCAACCTATTATATGTTTTCCTATGTGTTACTAATTTCGGGCCCCATATTAAATGCCCATCAGACATGTTCCTACCATTGGGTTTAGTACCTGTATAACGAGATAGCGTGGAGGGTCACGGGCCATTTTTGAGAACTCTGCTATCAGCTCACGGAACTTGGGACGACTGTCTGCATCGATCATCCAGCCTGGAGGGACAACAGGGGGAGCAATCAACAAAAAAGGCAGGTTTTGGTGGTCAAACACAGAGCTTAAAATGAAACATAGCAGCAAAATGAACAGTGTCCTGCATGGAATAAAGAAAGGAGTTGCCTAGAAGGGACCACCATAAAAAGTTCAGCCACTGGTGTGAATTTCAGCATTTAAAATGCGTATCTTGGCATTGGGAAGAATGAAGGAGGTAATAAAACCCTATGCTGGAAAAGCTCCAGGCTGAGCCTGTCTCCTCTCCTGCTGGCCTATCAACATGTGAGCAGGCAGGTCCCACCTGAGTGATAACAATGCATGAGTCCTGAGGACAGGAAATGGGTGGCCAGCCTGGATTGCTCCAAATTAGCCTTGAAAAAGCCCTTGAAGGAGGCGAAGCAAACTAACTTCAGCGGGGCCCTGAAGAGGTATGGTGATTTGACTGTCTAGTCACTGCACAGCTTTGTGAAATCCTGGGAAGCCTAAAACAGAAGCTACCCTCTGTACCAGATGTCTTTTAAAATTCAAAACATCCTCTCCGGGGACATTCTGAAAGATTAACTGTATCTAAGCTGCTTTCTATTAGTAAACGGACTTTAACAAAAACAAGTCCTACAGCTTAGTGTGGATTGATGCTAGAAGAGATTTCTTATCTTAATAGTGGTGGTTTTACATGTGATATTACTTAGGAAACCCACACTTTCTGTTATCAACTAACAGATGAGCTGATGCAGAGACTCTTAAATTTTAAAATTAGAAATAACGAAGGTCAAGCTTTGTGTGTCTGGAGAACCCATAAGAAACAGCCTATCCGTGAAAATGGAGAAGCTGAGTGATGACATGCCACCTGAAAATTGCATTAAGACAAAATCTCATCATTGCCAGTGACTTTTTACCATGCTAGAAAGAAGAAACCCTTCTTGCTTTTAGAAAGAGTGGGGCCTTTGGGAGTTTGCTCCTGTTGCAGAAGTAGCATCTCCTATTCCTGAATTTCTGAGTTGCATCTGTTTAAATTCTGCTTCTTTAAAAAATGTTGTGCAATAACTTTGAACATTTCAGTTTATACTCTCTGCTTATAAGAGGTGACTGGGCATCCTGAATTCCTACAGTCAAAATGGCAGGGCTTCAACACGGTCTGCCCTGTAGCCTGCAAACATTAAGTGAGAAGAGCAGTGAAAAATGTGGAGCTGAGTCCTGTGGCAGAAGGAAGGCTCAACCCCCAGATCCTCACACTCACATTTAAATTCAGAGTAATGGTATGAAACGGGAAGGGGACACCCCCCTGGTTGTGTTTTAAACGCAGCAGGTACCTGGTGTCTGGAAAAATGCCTTCTTTCTACATCTGGACTGGCCCAAAGGAAAGGCAATGGGCTGAGGTGTCAGTAGGGTTCAGCATCTCTGAGGGTGTGCTTCTAGGACACTGCTTTTGGGACTGGGCACCTCCCAGTCTAGGTGCACACCTCTGCCCCCGATTCCTGCTTGTCCTGCTGAGCACAGGATCAGGCTTACCCTGTGTGATGCCTGTCCCAACAAAGCAACTTCTGGGTGCTCCAAGATTCCCCAAAAGTTTTGCGCTATGGGGTGCTCATGGTAGTATGGCTCCTATTTCAGGAACAGGTACATTTTGCTCCATTGAGAAGGTCTTAAATGCCACCTAGTGGGCTGCTTATCAGTATCCTCATAATATCGAGCAGGGATGGGGCAGTCATGGCCTAGAGGAGCATGGGAAGCCATGTAATAATCTAACATATTAGGAGCTGATAGAGGTGAAAAAGGGGTTTGGGGGTCAGAAGTCCTTTGACATCCCCTAAAAATAGCTGAAAAGTGCTTCAGAGACCATCTTGTGCTACTTTACTGCAACAGCTGTCTGCCAAAAAGGGGCCTCATTTTCATTCAAAAATGAGGAAGAAATTGGATGAGGAAGTCCAGATCCTCATGTGCATCTGTCATTATTGCGGTGTCTGTGCTCCCAGCACTCCTTTAGTAAACGGAGTACATAAACCCATGTGTGTGATTCCGGGTGGGAGGTATATGACTGAACTAAGGGGGAGCCTGGAGGAGAAGGCAATGTTAATTTCATTTTCTAGCCATACAAAACCAGAGTATCAGGTACAGTGGGTGGTGTTATGCGAATTTATACTGCCTGGCAATAGCAGTCTAAGGTAATTGACTATCAGTCAGTGGTGCGAATGGTGAGAACAGCACCAATTGGTTGAACCAGTGACTAAATGAAACCATATCCTGTACTCCTAGCTAACACTCAAGGTACAGGAACACACTCTGGTGCCATCGCTCTTATCACACAACCCTGCACGATCACCAAAAACACAGCATATACGAATGTTACATAACGAGGGCAACTGTGCTACTTATGCAACTGAGGTGAGCACCCACAACCCCAAATGCGAACTCACATTTGACCATGATCATGTACACGTCGATGGTGCAGATGGGGGGCTGGGGCAAACGCTCGCCCTTCTCCAAGACAGAGGAGATCTCACTGGCAGGGATCCCTTCATACGGCTTGGACCCAAATGTCATCAGCTCCCAAACTGTCACACCTGTGAGGGAGAAGAGACGACCATGAGAGAGGCTTTGCCAGGAGCCAGGTTGCTCGGTTTGGGTGCAGAGAGGTGCTGAGCAGAGAGAGCTCTCACAGAGGCAACTGCATTGCCAGAGCCCCACCCAGGGAAAAATGTTTTCTGCCATGATTTTAAAGAGAGACAAATTAATAAAACAGGTTGAAATCATCCTGGTTCCCTTTAAGGTTTTGGGTTTTGCCTCTCTTTTGCCCCCTTCCCCCCTCTTATTTTTTATAATTTCAGCTAGTATCTCAGTGTTGAACATCCCACCAACTTCCCAGCCTCATAGAAAGGAAATACAGGTTACTGCCTCTTGACTCCAGCCCAGCAAGTGGCTAGAGTAAGTTTGTCTTTTTGTTTGAAAATGTAAATTGTCTTTTTGTTTAAAAACAATCAATCTCTTTGGAGACAAGCAAGAGCAGTTTTTAAAAGATGTGTAAACCAGCTGCCCCAGTGTCATCTGCTGACATACCACATACTCTTGTGATGTAGCTGTTGTGACTGTCTGGTAGCTTAGGATACAAAACAAGATTTTGGATGCCAAGATATATAAATGGATTAAAAGGACCAGAGGCTGTACTTCTTCTGAAAGGATACAGGATCTGACCATCTGCACTGAGTATTTTCCAGGAATATAAGAGCCCATGGAGTGGAAATATTGGAGTAAGATACTCTGAAAAGTTTCCTTTCTGCTCCTTTTTCTTTCAAGCTGGCTGATGAACTATACCAAATATAAATCGGTATATAAACCTCTCTAAGGATGTTTTTACTTTCCTTCCCTTCATGTGAAGCAGCTGAAGAAAAGCATCAGGAGAACTTCAGCAAATGCAGCAGTCTCCTACCTGCAGCCCCTTTCAGGGGAGGGCTCATCATCTGAAAGAATACTCTCCAAAACATGTTACACCTCACTAGCATGCAGTTTCAAGGGAGTTTTAACTTGTTGGATGGTTTTGGGACCACTGTTTATGTTTAATCTCTCAGTCTTCTCACAATGGGAAGGAAAAAGGTCTGCGTAGAGTCACTAGCAAATCCTGCAACTTTCCAACCCATTTGCAATAACTGTAAATGGTTTTAGACTCACCATAACTCCAGACATCGCTTTGATGAGTGTAAATCCGATGTAAAATAGACTCCAAGGCCATCCATTTAATAGGAACCTAGGAAAATTCACAAACAAGCCTTTAGAGGCTGCCCCAAAATTTATGAGGGATATTTACCACCAGGTGGTGTGTAAACCTATAGTTTGGTTACAGAAGTGAAAAAAACAACCAACTGCAACACACAACTCTCTGAGCGGTAGAGCAGGCAACTTTGGAGTCTCTTATTAATATTTTCATTTATTATGTTGAACCTGGGAACTTGTGAAATATTAGGCATATTAGAAACCTGTCTTACAAATTAGTTTTGCAGTACTTTTGACAGTCAGATTACTATTTTTTTAACATCCTATCACAACAGGACACAAATCCAATCTCAGGCCGTAGGGCCTGACAAAGACTGATCTGCACTCATATGGTTTCCATTTATGGCCTCCGCAATATTTGCAAGCAGCTTCTCCTTAATTTCTCAGCAGGACACATTCCCTCCATCAGCACGTAGTAGAACACGAAGGCTTGTTGAACCAAGTCTGACAGGTCTTTCTTCTGCTATAAATACACAGCATTCCCTTTCTCTTCATAAACTGTACAGTGTTATTGGTGTTGGCTACACTGACGAAACCAGCCATGCTTTCTTTTCTTTTTTAACTCCTTTTTAATGTTTTTTTAATAATCTTGCTTTTTCCCAGACATTCTGGGTGGGAATTTCAAAAGCATTCGCTGCTCTGCTACCTCCGCTCCCACTGCAGTCCCACTGGCCTGACGCTGCTTCGGCTGATTTCAGAGGGCTTCCTCAGGCTTCAAAGGCAGCATGCTGAGATGGCAGCTGAGGGCTTTGAAAAACCCACTCTTTCTTTTTTCCCCTCTGTGTTCAAGGGTTGTGCACAAGCACAAGCACTGATGAATGCACAGCAGCGGTTCATACACCGATGCACTTTACCTTGCCTCCCTCGGCATGATACTCCTTCTCGTCAGCACCGAGCAGCTTTGCCAGCCCAAAGTCTGTGATTTTCACGTGTTGAGGAGTCTTAACAAGGACGTTCCTGGCAGCAAGGTCACGGTGCACCAGGCGACGCTCCTCCAAATAATTCATTCCCTGCAATACAACAGACTGTTGGTGGGCATCGCATGCTTTGGGCTTGGACTTGTGAACAAGTTACCAAGCTTCAACCTGTGAAGTCTGCGAGCACACCACCATGGACACGTGGTAATCTATCCCACCTTCAAGAAAAGGTTTCCTGTTTCAATTTATGTGATGCTTATTGCCAGGTGAGGACAGTTACACTGAGAAATATCTACTACCCTCCAGGAACCTTTTCGTGGGCCCACGCACCGGTGGAGTGATGAAGAAAAGAAGAGACAGTAGCAGGCATATATATAGCAGGGGATGAGGTTCCTCTGGGATCTAGTTCAAGAAATACAAAATCAGGATAGGACTTTCAAATACCTCTTCTTTCAGCTGCACTTGTGCCACCTCAGTGACTTCAGGAGAGTACAGCACAGAGTTTAACTATCACCTTCCATATGGCAAGTAGGCCAACCCTACAGAGAGCATTTAGACATTATTCATTCAAAGTTGCAGATACTGCACCTTACTGTGGCATACTCTACCTTCTTCCTGCTAACAATGAGGCATACCACTGCGAAGGCGAGAAAAGGGGAAAAAACAGTAAAAAACCTCTTTTTATGGCTGAGCTCAGAGTTGCATCTGTTTTCAGATGCCTCTTTGAAAAGCCATGTTCTTCCAGTTTCACTGCCTCCCATGATTAAACTAGGTTTCCCATAGCATATGTGCTTTTTGCATACAACTGCCTCCCAAGGAAGAATACAACTAACTGTGCTGGTTTGACTTCTAAAACATAAATCAGCTGTGTTCTGGCCACAGAGATTATTCCCTTTCCCTCAACACCAGTCTCTTGGTGTATGGAGTCAAAAAGTTCATGATTTCTAAGTTTCCTGTAAGATCTTTTCTAAAAACCACAATTATTCCCAGTCCATAGGTTTTTGCTGGTGCTTGTATTTTTATGAGGAGGAAATTAATAAAAAAGTACTTGTAACCTACAAAGTTAACAGCAAAATGATCATGTTGATGAGATGACAGAGCACTGGAGGGAATAATTCCCTTCCAGCCTCCACCCCCTTCCTAAACCCACTGCTAACCTGGACCACCATCGAATCCTCCACCTAAGTCCCTCAGCAGAATTTCACCCATGCGCTGCTGATGTTGCCAAAACAAACCACCCAAACAACCTGGAGCAATGCCACTATGAGCGTGCATTTCATTACACAGATAGTTCTTCAGCGAGCAGAGCTCTGGAAACAAAACAGCTTAAGCTGCCGACAGAAAACTGACTATCTTAAAAAAGAAATAATAATCACATCATCTAGCCCCAGTAGGACAAAAAAGTTCCTGCTAAACACATCTTGCTGCAGACTTATTACGAGGCAAAGCTGCTGAAAGGCAGAATATCAGTTTCAAACTAAGCTGTTTAAGACACCGATGGCTATAAGGCTTGTGCACATACATAACCGTACACCGAAGACCTTGAACTGCTTATCTAGAATGTTCAGCAGATATTTAATTGTGTGCAGGCCTGGGGTTTAAGTCATTTTTCATCATTAAGCATGAGACCAACGTGTTCAAAGAGTTACTTCACAGTGCTTCTGCACATGCAGTGCCTATGCTCTGTCATGACATCTTGTCTGAGAGACACGACTCCATACCTCAGTGAAAGAGAATGTTTGTAAAAGATGCAAAGAAAACTTATTTCAAAGCTGTGAAAACAAAATGAGAATAAGCTTCCCAGGGAACTTGCCTCCTGCTGGTTCGTTACCAGACATAAATATATTGGCTTCAATTTTTCCCCCCTCTGAAAGTACATTTTTAAAGAGTCAGAGAATGTCCAAAAATCTGGCATGACTTTATCAGAGTAGTAACACATTGGTGGGAAAAAGCTGAACACAGGATTTACGAGTGCTTTGAGGAGAACTTCAGTGAGGAGCAGCACAAAAGAGTATGTTGAAGGTCAGACATCGCTTGAGAGGGTAGAGGTTGCTATGGGCAAATGTTGAACCGACATGAAAAAAAGTAAAACAGAAGCTAACAATTGTGAATGGCAACCTTTCGGGCAAGCAATGCCTCAAGGATCAGTTTGGGGACTGAGTTTGCCACCTTAAAAATTAACAAGGAGGAGGAGGAGGGAAATGTGGCCTCCAGCTCATCCTCCAAAGGGACTGAAGCCAGGACAGAGCAGTAACTGATTTAAAACAACAGGGCAAAAGAGTCAGAAAGGGGCAGTTCACATCCCAAGTGGATGCATAAATGAAAATTCACTTGCTGTGGAGCGTGCTGTAAAGAAGTACACACACCGAGATGAAAAATGTGCTCTGTGTACTTTTGGTGGATACGTTTCTGAGGTCCTCAGCATGTTTCCTGAAAGGAAACCACGGCCGGGCGAGCCTGGGATGTATACAAGGTCTCAAGGGACCGATAAGGCTGTAAGTGTGTGGTTAGCTTGCAGACCGGCATTCCCAAAATAAGGAGCATTAAATCAGCTGGGCTTTGCGGGTATTGCCATCTTATACAACAAATCTCCAACAAACTGAACCTATTTTTATTGCTGGTTTTGTTCCATTCTGCCATGCTTGCAAATGGCTAACCACCTTCCAAACACAGCATGTTGCTGCTAATAGCAAAAGGCTGTACTTCAGCCTCCTTTTGCTCTTTGGCAAAAAGTGCCAAGTGTGATAACTAGTCCTTCATTTGGCACTATGGTCATTGCAATTACATTACAGGCACCAACTCAGTGCATATAAATGACAGAACAGCCCTGGGGTACCTGAGTGTCTTTTGGTCTCAACCAGCCTGTGGTAGAATGGAGCTGGTATTTATCAATCAGTAGTTTTGATCCTCAGGCCTCAAGAGATTTCAGCCTGGAATTCTCTGAGGCACACAAGAAAGCGCCTCAACAACATCACTGTCTGCCTCATGCCACAGCCCAAAGAAATCCACTGATGGAGTCAGCATTTTGGTATGGGAATTGCCAAATTCTACACCCTGCCCTGCCACAGCATTGTTTAATCACACTATAATTTCATTATGGGGTGTTTGGTTTGGACATAAATCTGTTGGTGATAATATTACGCTGTCTAGGAGCATTTTGAAGAATAGTTAAGGTTTGCTCAGCAGCTTGAAAATGGTAAATTGTTTTAGACAAAGCAACCACTTACTGTCACATATAAGGTATCTACAAACCACGTGATGAAATAGAAAGATTTACAGAGACAGGTAAGTAAATAAATACATTATGTGCTGTCAGATCTCTGTGTTACAGTGTGAGTTTTAGCTGATATGGAGGTATGCTAGTCCACTTACCTTTGCAATCTGCACACACCAGTTGAGAAGGTACTGGGAACCAATGTTGTCCTTGTGCTCTCGGATGTAATCAAGGAGGCAACCATAAGGCATCAGTTGTGTGATGAGCTGGACAGTGGAAGTGAGGCAGATTCCCAACAAGCGGCACACATGAGGATTGTCAACACTAGCCATCACATAAGCTTCCTGAGAAGAAAGGAAAAAAAGCAATATGAAACACTCCCTTTGGCATGACACGTATTTGGAGGCAGTTTAAAACGAGTTGGTCATTCAAGAGGTAGCAAAAATACTATATGCAAACTCTGTGCCTCATATCACGTACAAAATACTTGTATTTCCCTCTCTGTGGACCAAGTTTTTTCTACTCAGTGGAAGGTCCAGAGTTTGAACTGAAGCATCACTGAGATGCCACAGAAAAGCCAGGCTCCCACTTCTGTTACGCCAAGCAAACGCTGGACACAAAATCCTAGGGATAAAACTTGCAGACCTAGGCAGAATTAATAAATTGAACATCACCTGGAAACTGATGGGATTTCATCATTTTAAGCACCCAATTGCAATGGCAACACATCTTGTGAACATGTGTCATATCACTTTTTCTCCTCCGCAGATCTTTTCACCAAACTGTTTGGGAATGAGTATTTTCAGACTTCTGCCCCTCTGTTAAGGTTTGTGCTAACCCAGAAAGTCAAAAGTTGTCACCTAGGCTGTGACTGACAGTTTCACTTTTTAAGAGACCATGTTTTTCTTGATCATTTTGTTCTTCGGTTGATGTCAAACCAAACAGGCTAATAATCAGTTCACCTCTTTAGAAGCTTGAATACATGTGGTGAAAATGTCATCCCCAATTGGAAAAGCTGTTTCAGACCCATATAGCAATGTAAATTATACAAGGAATGTACTTATAATGTGGGAGCCCAAGCATAATAAACCCTTTGGTCAACTGGAACTTTGGGTTTGAGCTTCATAAATATGTGAAAAACTCTTCTGTCAAGCCTGGGTTCACCCCACATAGCTTTAGGTACTGAGCTAAGGTGCCCGTTTCCTTTGCTCTTCTGCAGGAAGGGACATGCTCCTTCAGAGGCTGGTGAAGTACACTCCAGACACACCAAATAACTCCTTTAACATGGCCATGGGGTAAAAAGCACAACTTAATGGGTTTTGTGTGCAAAAACTACTCATGGATTGATATTTGAGATGCGTATTCAATATTGACATCCACTGTCAAGTGCCAGCTCAAAGAATGGATTCCAACTGGGGAAAAAATTACAGCTGAAGTTGTTTGGGTGTTTTAACTAATTTTGTGTCTGATTTACAATATGTCACATTTAGACATTTTTAAAGCCATCTGACTGAATACGAACACAATGGGAAATAAATGAGAATTTTTCCATGCATCTTAACTCAGCATCTGGAGAGACACCAACTAATCATCCCTTGGTGATTTAGCATTAACCTAGCAGCCCCCCAACGCCTAAAATCATAGTGAAGATATTATTGTGGCATGGAAAGGAGCAAACCTGCTCTAAGAGCTTAAGAGAAGAAATACCATAGCACTTTATTCATCATCTAACAAGCTTTCCACAGATGTCACATAGCTGCGTAACTAGTAAGAACTATTATTAAACAAAGTTATTAAAGCAATGACGTTCAAGAAATAAGCAACCCCAATTCTTAAGCAATACTTTCTGGCCCTGGTATTGCTGTTTGACTTGCCAGCCTAAGCAAAACATGATGTAATACAGCTTCTCCTGAGGCACTAATTCTGCATTTGGTATCCTTGTTTTGAATGAAAGCGGCCTCCAGGCAGTCAGGTCAAAGATGATCTCCATGAGGACTGGACAATTGCTCCTCAACCTACCGCAGGATGCGAGCAGGTCATTGAAAAACAACCCTCTGTCAGAGAGAGCACTGGTTCTGTGGGCTAGCTTGAGGAAAGATAAAGCAAGAATACAATCTGCTGCTCAATTATGTGGATATTTGTGGCAGTATTTTTTAAAGAATCTTGCAAATCCATTATACGATGCTCAGATGTAAGCAGAGACCAAAACATGCTCGTCTATCTCCCTAGGCTTCCAAATGAAGCCGGAGTAATGATGAAGGGCATCTGTTCCTTGCCTTGCTTCCTGTTGGGATTCAGATCCATATTGTATTCATTTCAGCAGGGGGGGCGGGGGGAGCGGGAACTCTGCAGAGCTGGAGCTGTTCTTACTGCCCATCTGCCGAACAGCCCGCGTGGGGCTGACCTGGGGGCTGAGAACTGAGATGCTGAAGAGTGGGGCGGGTGTACGGGCCACACAGCTTTCAGACAGCATCCAAGCCTTGGCACTGGCTATTACATTTGATACTGCAAAGTCAAAGAGGCCACCGCCTCCTCGCAGGGAGCAGAAGGGAGCTATTGTGCGGTCGTGGGTCCCTCTAAGTAGCCCAAGACATTAAAGTGGGCCTTTGTTTCAACTGTTTATCCTGGAAATCTCTGTGGTACACTCTAACCTGCTCCAAGTATGCCTGGTATTCAACAACAATCTTCTGAATTAGCCCTACCCTAATAAAGCTAGCGAGAGCTCGCCTGGATTACATGAGCTAAAGCTGCTGCGCCTGTTCTATACCTAGCGTGTTTCTGTAAGGCAAATCATCTTTAATTGGACATTATTATCTCTGAAGTTTCAGTGACCTTGAAAAGTTGGTTGTGTAGCAAAATCTGTTTTGAGAGGAGATTTTGGAGTCATCCCTCTGATTTCTTCCACTGGTTTTGTATTTTTTTTAATTTTCTTCTGAAATACAGAAAGAATTCCACCAATGAAATAGTCTAAAAAATGAACAGGACTGGAAAAAGCAAGAGCTTTTGTTAAGTGTCCTAATTCGAACAAAAAGAAAAGATAATGTGGAGATATGCTACAGAAACTTCTTTGAAAAGAGGAATTGCTTTGATATCACTGAAGAGTATGCGGTCCCTGCATTTACTGCCCTGTGACATGTATGTGCCACAGTTTAAGGCCTAAACATGAGAATAAAGGAAACAGAATTAGCTGTAAATGTACAGCCCTGACCTTTCCATAGGTGCTACCCCAGGAGTATTTGAACTGCAAGCACAGGTTTCATAGGAGACGCAAAAGCATTTCACAGACTGGACTTCAAAGCCCAGAACTTCTAGATAGAGAATTCAGTTTTGGGTGCAAAATGTTTCTTCCCACCCAAAATCCTGAAATCCCTTTAGCTGTTACAGGGGAAAATTCACAGACCACTGACAACTTGACAAAACAAACATGAAAACTTACATCAAGTATTTCCTTGTTGGCTTTTGGTGAGGTAGCCTCTCTCAACTCCTTAATAGCCACAGGAATTTTAACCTTCTCTCCTTCTGGGATCCAAAGTCCCTACCAAAAAGAAGTAGTAAGAGTTACTCAGTCTCATATCTACCAGGTTAATTCTCACAATTACATATAGCTTTTACATCTTCTGAGAAGACTTAAATATTCTGAGCAATGGGAAGACATGGCAGGCAACAAAAATAGGCAAAAAAAGTCTTGTGGGTGTTAACAAATCCTGTTAATGGAGTGGTATTTCTCCTTCAGTCACCTCTATAGTATCTTTTTTGGAAAAAAACCCCATGTTCATTACCATCCCTGTATAAATAGCCCAAGAGACGCATAAAGAGCAACTTTTGTGGATGGAAATCTAACTAACTAGCGCATCACAGCACCTGCATGTGCAAAACCTTGCCACTTCGAAGTTATAGATATTGGGATGAAAGAACTGGCATTTTTTCATGACAACAAGATGGCATCCAAACTGTATAAATAATGCAGTGGCAGGTAGGTTTCTCTCGGACTGGTTCAGTGCTCTACATCTACAGTGTCAGAAGGCCATTTAGGCAGCAGGTGAACAGCATGGCACTGTGAAGACACACTGCTGATGTACCCAGCAACATAGCAATATATGCACTGTCCACATTTTCAGAGGTTAATGGGATTTGAGCTTCAGAAGTTCCTAGCCATAGCTGGAAGCCTGCTTCAGAATATAGAGCTTTATAAAGAGATACATGATTCTATGAAAGTTTGTATTTCAGTACTACTGCCACATATCCTGAGTAGGAGGAGCACAGAGAAGTGGAACTTGGTGACTAAGAAACACAGAAGATAAACACCAAGAGAAAAAATACCCTGTGAACCTACACAGTTGAAGGTGTGTAGACACTTCCACACATCTGAATCAGTTCTAATGAACGAGATTGATGATTATAAAAACCAGACCCCAGACCACATAGAAAAGTGGCTTACCACTGAACTGATTGGTTTTTTCCTAACACTTACAACAGGATGTATTCGGCTGTGGTAGTTTTTAAGTTGAGATCTTTGTTCTTTTGGAAACATTTCAAGTAAATCTTCCCATGTTACCTGATTTGTAACTCAACTAATGATGATTGAGTCATCTCTCTACTATTCAATATAGACATGCTATAAAATCTAGTTTAGTGATCACAATGATCACAGCTCCCAGTTCATGCTCAGTTCGGGTGGCTTCTGCATAAGAGAGTAAGATGAAAATGGGAAGAGAAACACCCCTTGGTGTATCTTACCTTATAAACAGTGCCAAAAGCTCCAGAGCCTAAAACTTTGACCTTTTTAAATTCTGTTTCCTTTAAAATTCTCAGATGAGCCTGGTTTGGTGCCTCTCCGCTGGGTGTCAGTGGTTCAACAAGCTGGGGCAAAGAGAAGATGATGTTAGAAAGATATGGAGTCTAGCAGTACAGCAAACAGCATGCTTTGGTGAAACAAGTAAATCTTTCCTTTAAGATAATGAGCATTTTATTCCATGTGAAGTTTAAAGAAGGACAGCCCCACTCTGACTTGCAGTAACAAATATCTCCAGTTACTCCAAATTTCAGAGGTAAACCAATCACAGAGTGCTGACTGCCATTTTGAAGGAGAATGAGGGAATACTGCTGTTCAAATGAAGGCTTTGGCTTCAAAGCGCTAAAGCACATGGCAAGAAGAACAATGTAACTACCAGAGATCCTAAAGAAGATTACTTTTTTTTTATTTAACTTCTGAATAAATTATAAAAATGTTTTAAATAATGGGCAAGAATCACCCACAACCTTTCAGGTCTGCTCTTGTTTAACTGGATGGAATTTCCATGGTACCAGTGGCTCCCCCAGACCACAGAGTTTACAAGTGGCAACTGAAGCTCTGAGAATGATTCTTTTGCCAGTAACAAAGGAGATGTGGAATTTACTATCAAGTTTTTAAAAATTTGGTCTAAGCCTTATTACAAACAGCAGTAATGACTTCCAGAGATATTTAACCCTTTTTTGGTGCACACGTCAGCTTTTTCCCTTCGTGTTGCTGCTTTTTCCTTACCTTCGAACAAAAGCATATTTAGCTTGATACAATCTGATTTTAGTGGGCCAGCAACCATTCTGCCTGGATGAAATGTTGTCATTTTGAGGAGTCCAGGGAGTACAATATGAGCTGAGCACAAATTGAACTCTACTATCACAACTGTAGAATACAGTGGTATGTAAAATACTGTGAGGTAGTGCATTAAAAGCAGCAAAGCTTTGACTTTAAGGATTTCAGCAGCTGACTCTGTGAAGCCAGTGAGCACAGAAATGAGCTGCAACTGGGCTATTAGCAGGATGCTAAATACAATTTGCTAATGATTTACTAGGATTGGACTACAAAAAGAAGGCAGCTAATGATAGAAGAGAAGCTTTAATCCAGGATAATGAATTTTGCTGGTTTATATGTGAGGTACCCTGAGGGCGATGCTGTAACACACACAAAACCATGCAGAAAACAAATGCAGTGTATGAACCTTGTTTGTGCCCAGCAGGGTGAACCATCCACTTTGATGGCTCTGTGGGGTTTTTGTGCTAAAAACAAACCAAAGACAAGACACATGCACTTCCTCGATTCCTTTCCCTCCTCTTCTTTCTCTCTCATTTATTCCTGAAGAAATGAGACATATGCCTCATCAAGGGGGTAGAATTTTCAAAAGCACCCAAGTTGCCACAGCAGCCTCACGGATTGTCTCGAGGGAGAAACTATTCAAGGCTGAGTCTACACAGCAAGGTGCTATGGATCAGCAGACACACTGCACCTCACCCTGAAGGTATAGGTTTTTTTCCTAGTAGGCAATCTCAATGATTTTCCTTGGGATTTAGACATCTAAATCCCCTAAAGCTTTTGAAAATCATATCCCGAAGGATAAGACTTCAGATTAAGTGAGGTACTAGATGCCCATCGTCTCTTGCCTGAGGCAGACACCATGTTTGCCAACCCAAGGGCTTGGGTTTGCCAACCCAAGGCAGACGTATGGTGCTTTAGTTTTCAGTATGAGGAGGTCAGCACCCATTAAAGCAGGTAAAACAGCCGGAGTTGCCACTGTGCCGTGCTGGCAGCACTCACCTCCCTCTCCTGCAGCAGCCGCCGCAGGGTCCTCTTTCTGACAATGTGGCGTCTCCGCAAGTAAAGGCCAATGCCCAAGCCGACTACCACCAAGCACAGGAGCCCTCCAACAACACCAGCTGCGATGGATGGGATTTTGGAGCTGCAGGACAGAAGGGAATGCATAAAGACAAAGAAGTGCTTAGGTGTAAGATTTACAAAGCCCCAGGTTTTGATCAAACACACGCTCTGGACATCCACTTAAGCTTGTTTGAGATGAATCCCTGTAATGCAGGTAACCATATCAACCCTAAATATCTCTCTGCCACTAGCCTTTAATCCTTTCTTTTTGTAGCTCCTCCCTTTCTTCTCCAGTAAGATCCCAGGTCTCATCTTGACAAGCAAGCTAAGCAGAATGCAGAATGAGGTTTTGGAGTCTCGTGCCAGTAGGAATATTTCTCAGTTCTTTAAATCACTTTTCTATGCTCTAATCTATCACTTCCCTGTGCAGAACTGAAGACTTAACTTTAGTCCCAGCCTTGCAGTGTCCAGTGTGGAAATGTAAACACACATGCATTCTTTCCAGCTCTGTCGTTAATTGTAGCAGATTAAATACTCACCCATTTGGACAGCCCTCAAGACCTGGCCCTTTGCACCTGTAAAAACAAATGAACATTACAAATGTTTTAGCTCTGGCATACATAATTCTGTAATTCCAACTAAGAAAAGTGCTACTGATTGAAAAGTTTGTGTTTCAGGAATTTATAACAGTTATACACTCCGTTAAACATCAGTCAATGGCCTTACTCCAAAATCTTTTCTCTAGAGGCATAGTTATGCTTCATACTCAGTTTAAAGAATATTTTAAACCCACTTTATATCATGTGGTAGAATGGGGAGGGAGGGAGGGAGGTCGGTCAAAGATACACAAATTCATGGTCTCCCTGCTGTGCATGGACATCTGTGCTAGCACAGAAGCTTAGGGATGAACGTGGAGGAGGACAGAAGAAGCCTTTCCTCTGCACGAAGGCAGAAAGCCACATGGAAACATGCCACTGCAGACCCTCTTGCATGTTTCTGGATAAGTAAAAGATTCCAGTTTCCAGACTTTCTATTGCAATGGAGAACTTGGGTAGGAGGTAGACAGTCCCATCAGAAAACAGGATTTGACAGCACTCCCTTTGGCTACAGTTTGTTGGTATGTGTCCATGATAATTTTATTTCGGAACCTAAGGTCTTACGTTGATAGTGTAAACAGGAACAACAATTATCTGGAAAGCCAGAAACTCTACTAGCAAGACATTCACCCTCCATTTGAGTTTAAAATGAAATCCATTTTGGCAGCCTGAATGCAGAAAATAATACAGATGAAAACACAGTGACTGCATTCACTTGATGGTCTAATGGGTGTGAAAGGCACCATGCATTCCCTAAATGCTGCTGGGCTACAAGATGTATGCTTTTCTTGGGAACTGTGGTCTTTGTGGTATCTACTGAGCAAGAAGAGCATTACAGAGAGGGTTACATCACCTCTGAAATGCAGAACACAGCAAGAAGAAAAGTCCAGTTTGTGGTATCCGCTCCCTGTGCTGACTTAAAGAAAACGGATCATCCGAAACCAACTCCAGAGGAGGTCAAAGAGAGGTTAAGGAGTGAACCTGTGCCAGTAAAGCTGCTCTGCATTCCCTCTTGCTGAGAGGAGGAACCAGCAAATTTCCAAAATGGCAGGTAGAGTTGGAGATCTTATCTCATAACTTGTTCTAGATGTGGGGGAGGAAGAGGTAAAGCAACTACTCATTTTATTGTGTTTTTGTTTGTTTCTTTCTTTTCATTACTCTGATCTTCCCTCATGTATTCGCCTTGTTTCTGAGCCAACACAATGCTCCAAGACCCAGCATCTGGAAGGTCTTGTGAGTTCACTGGGCTCCCATGCAAGAATGTGCATCCTGGTGTCCTGGACATGCTGGAAATGCTGTGCATACCGGTTCCCGGATCTCGGGCGCCCAGCTTTGTTAGTGTTCCCTGTCTGCCTACAGCTTGGGTTGTTTGCTCAGTTGTGTAACTAAGCATGTGCTTGGAGAGGCTGCACATGCAGAACAGAACCACCAGCTTGCTTAGGGTCACAGGAGATGTATCCCACTCTACACCGGACTTCTCTATTTGGGTGCTCAACAGAAAACTGATGTAGGACCCAAGACCTCATCTTACCCATGCTCTACCACTCAGGTATGAATTTCTACATGCTAACACAACAAAGTATGTGCAGCTTGCATGTAAGTATGTTAAATTTAAAATACCTCACTTGATTCCAGAATGTGACTGCGGTCCCTCAAATTCTCTCTTCCTAAAAGTTCTGTTTTGCCATGCTACTTTACAATGGCAAGTCCTCCATGTGCTTCCTTACAGTAAAAAAAATTGCTTGAGAAGACAGTATCTACAGTCCGAGGAATGACCAACTAGTTATTTCCCTATACCAGAAAGCAGAAGCAGGAGAAGTGTAGATTTTCATCTGTCCCCTTCTCTTTATAAATTATTTCCCACACAAATCCATCAACACCAGGTCTAGTGGGATAAAGTAAAAAGGTGTTTGGGAAGAAAATGACAGATCAGCTTGTGCTTTTCAAGTCCCATGTGATTTTCTGATTCATTTCACAAGTCAAAGAAGAAACAAAGTCTATGAAAAATATCCATCCATGACTAAACATAACCGTCTTTCTTACTGTGGAATTTTATGATGACACCCAACATAAGTAACTGAGGTTTTATGGAATCTAAACAATCACTTTTTCCATTCCTGAATCATTTTTCTTTTGCTTACAGAAACCAAAATGAGAAATGTGACCTTGTGCTATAAGATGCCTCAAGATCTTACGGATATATCAGATGGAATCTAGCAGTGGTTGTAGTCTCTGAAGCATTTCTCTACTTACTGGAAAATTAGTGCTGTGTAGAGTCCTGGAAAAATATTGCATCCTGAACTCAGCATTTCATCTATCTAGGTAAATATTACTTGTCCCAGTACAGACATAGA